CCTAATTCCAATAATAAATGTTTTGCCTTTTAGTTCAAATGAAAAGAGCATTATTGCTATCGAACCAATTCTTTTATGCACCAATCGGTGCCCTAAAAAGTTCATCATTTTATAATGTGACTACAGATTTGTTCTATATCAAAGCTCTTCTGTATTAGTACCAACCTTCATTCTAGGAAGCAGTTTAGGTATTTCTAGAAGAGGTGTAACCTTTTGAATCTGAACTTGACCCTTGTGGTGAGCTTGATTTTTCTGTCTAATATACTGCTTTTAGAAAAGCAATTTTTCTTTCCTGGCTTTTGCAACTCCTTGCACATAGCAGGTACTCAATAAATATTTACTGAATGAAATTGAATTTGACCTGCTTAGAAGTCATAGTCCTGATGTAGGGTTATTCATTTTTGGCAGAAGCTGTCATAAATCACAGGGTTTAATAGTAATCCAACTGATGAACTGTGCACTCAGCGGCATACAGTAGTTCAGCATTGTATATTGCACTTTCCCAAGTGCAAATTTAGACAACAATTTAGCCTACAGGGCCTTGATGAGCTGACTCTGGCCTATTTCACATCTCTCATACTACTCACTCACAGCCTTCCTTCCTATGCTCCGACCTTTTAGAATAACTGCATTTACTCCTCTCTTAACATGCTTGCTCTCTGGTGTCTCTTAAACCTTTGCACACTCTTTTGCCTAGAATACTCTTTTTGACAGAGTTAAGTGTGTGTTTCCTGATAGTCTTATGTGGAAATGAGTGAGCTGCTGCTTTTCTCCTGTAGCAGTTTGTGCTTGCCTCCATCATAGCATTAAATTCTCCTGTAATTCTTTTCCTAAGCCACCAGTCTTTCCCACTAGACAGCTGCTTGAGGGCAGGTGTGTGATTTATTACTTTCTCTGTTCCCTAGAGCCTGAAACAATGCCTGCCACATGAATGTTTGTTGAATTAACAAATGGGTCCTGAACTTTATGTAAATTTGCAAATGGAATAAAATTAAAATGTAAATGAGTTTAGCAGGGATCATTAATTATATGCCTAATTTTAATTAAATTGTGATATAGTTAGAAAGATCAGCCCGAGATTCAGAAGATGCAAGCTCTTGTATTGGATTAATGATATTTTAATGGTCCCTTAATCTTTCTAGTTCTTAGTTTTTTTTTTAAATCTGGAAATGAATGGATTGGATGGAATCTTTACTAAGATCCCTTAGAGCAAGAATTACATTGCTCTTAAGTTAATTACAGAGAACTACGTCTCTTCTGCCAGACTCTTTGCATCTCTTTGAATCAGGAAGTATGTTCTAGTCATCTATAATTTCCTAGCACTAAGCTCAGTACCTGGCATATAGTAGTTCAAACAATTTCCACCTGATAAAGCGATAAATTCCCACATGGAATTACAGTTTTAAATAAAGCAAATGAGAAAAAAGTTCAGATAAAGAATAGTGAATTAAATATTTGTAAAATGTAAACGTTTCTGTGGAAGAATATTTATGTGGAATGTCTGAAAAAAAAAAATACCTGACAGAAATTTTGTATTTATCAGTTAAAAAGTTCCCTAGTAGAGGAAATGAATTTGAAGCTGCCTGGTCCCCAGACTACAAGAAAATAATGTATCAGTCTGTGTCATGTTGCACCAAGTTTTATGTTGCTGAAATTAAACTATGCCTGCTGTAGAATGTTGCTGGCAATATTCTTGGTATTTATGTATACTTGTGATAGTATTTTTGGTTTAAATAATTTAAAAACCATATTCTTTTTCAAGCATTAAATAATTGACATATTTGGGACTTAATCTTTAGGGCAGAATGAACTCTGATTATACTAATGTATCATGTGTTAAAAGGGGGGTAAAAAAGCTCTGTCAGCCCTTTTCACTATACTTTTGTAAAGATTTGCTATTATTTAGTAAATGAGATGCCATTCTACATTTTCAAGGACTTTCTAGGAGATTAAAATAATATTATTACTTTTAAACTAAGCCTGTACCTTTGGGTTATTAATTTGAATACTTGATACTTCAGAGTTCAATTGTAAAAGTAAAGGAAAAATACAGTCAAACTATTTGTGTAAAAAAATAGCAGTCAACCAATCCATTAGTTTGTTGGTTATATACTCAACAATTCTGCTTTAAGGCATTGTTTACAAAGAGGAAGAATATATGATCATGCCCTGGGTTAATGTGAAAAATATTATCTTAAATTAGGGCCAATGGTTGGAAATTTGAGCCAGATTTTTCTCCCCGTGTAGTCCCCCCCCAAAAAAAACCCTGATCCCCAATGATTTCTTTTTTTTATTTTTATTTTATTTTTATTTTTATTTTTATTTTTTGAGACGGAGTCTTGCTGTCTTGCCCAGACTGGAGTGCAGTGATGTGATCTCAGCTTACTGCAAGCTCTGCCTCCCAGGTTCAAGTGATTCTCTTGCCTTAGCCTCCTGAGTAGCTGGGATTACAGGTACCTGCTACCACGCCCAGCTAATTTTTGTATTTTTAGTAGAGACGGGGTTTCACCATGTTGGCCAGGCTGGTCTTGAACTCTTGACCTCATGATCTGCCTGCCTCGGCCTCCCAAAGTGCTGGGATTACAGGTGTGAGCCTCTGCGCCCGGTCAGTTTCTTTAAGAAAGTGTGATAGTGCGTATAAGAGTACTTTTTAAATTTGTTGGTTCCTTGGTTTATTGTGTTTGTTAGGCTTGAAGTTGTTATAGTTCAATTGTTTATTTGTCCCAGGCACTTTTATGGGTGCCCAGGGGCAGATCCATGTTTTATGCCCCCTGAAACTTACCTAATTTGAAAGAATCTTTCTAAATATAAAGAATACGAAAGTACAAACATCAAATTGTGTATGAGAGTGAATTTTCTTCAGAATGAGAAAATTCCACAAAACACTATAATTTTTAAAAAACAGGTATATCTACAAATGATTAGAGAAATAATCTGCACTAGTTTTTGGCTCCGTACATTTTATACTTTGATTCTCTTCCATTGCCACATATACTTCCAGTTTTGGGTGCCATGAAACACATTCAAATTGCCAGATTTGAATTGGATTTCACTGTTCGCATGGTAGGCTAGTCAGCATTTGGGCACTTCAAGTGTTTCTGAAACCATCTTTTAAAAAAATTCTATTACAGATTTAAAAAATATTGTATTTATTTAAGGTGTATAACGTGATGCTTTGATATATATACACATAGTGAAATGGTTACTACATCAAATAAATTAACATATCCTTTACCTTCCATAATTACCTTTTTGTGGTAAGACCATGTAAACTCTGTTCTCTTAGCAAATTTTCTGAATACAGTATTATTAGCTATAGGCCTCATGCTGTACATTAGATCTTTAGTCATCCTACATACCTGCAAATTTGTACTCTTTGACCTTCTTCTCTCCATTTATTCCCCTCCCCATCCCTGGGGCCCACCCACTGTTCTACTCTCTGTTTCTGTTTGTTTAACTCCTTCTTTTAAGTTTCTGCATATGAAAGTGAGATCATATATTCTTTCTTTGCCTGTCTTATTTCAGTTTCATTGGGATTGCTGACAGTAATTAAACCATTTTACAGGAGTGACTGTGTGCCTCACATATACCTTTCACCAAACCCAAAGTAAATGTATCTTCAACTCAAATTTCCATTAGCCAGATTCCAAAATCACCCACAGCAACTCCAGTGCCACGCAACAGGAGGCTTTAGCCAATTATGTTTAAGATATTATACTCATAGGCCAAGTGCGGTGGCTCACGTGTGTAATCTCAGCACTTTGGGTGGCTGAGGCAGGTGGATCATGAGGTCATGAGTTCAAGACCAGCCTGACCAAGATGGTGAAACCCCGTCTCTACTAAAAATATAAAAATTAGCCAGGCGCAGTGGCAGGCACCTGTAGTCCCAGCTACTTGGGAGGCTGAGTCAGGAGAATCGCTTGAACCCGGGCTGCAGAGGTTGCAGTGAGCTGAGATCATGCCACTGCACTCCAGCCTGTGTGACAGACTGAGATTCCATCTTAAAAAAATAAATAAATAATATAAGATATTATACTCTTGACAATTTTATATATATATATAAAAAAATGATGAGGGCCTTAGAAGAGAGCCATGTATCTTTATGATCTTTATGTGAACATTTAACCTTTTTAAAGAGTGCTGTCCCATTACACTACATAATGCTATTGTGCAATTTTCAATGATTTCATTTGAAAGTTATTTGTGTGAAGAGTTCATTATGCCCTTTCTGGAGGGATGAGAATGTGGTAGACTATCTTACTCTTGGCTAAATCACATGAACATGTAGAAGTGAATACATTAGTTGAATTACTACCTTCTCTGGCCGGCAGAAGGTACTTTCAGTTCTGCAGGCAGCCCCGGAACGCCCCAGTGGTTGGGCAGCACCTGTGATGGGATGACTGAACCGTTGTATGCCACATGTTTATAGGCGTGGTAGACAGTGTGGGGAGGTGGAAAAGACTGGTTCTGACCTGACACACATTTACTACTTAATAACTCAGGTATTCAAATTGCACCTCTTTGTTTTATTCTCCTCGGGGTTCAGGAACAGTACACCAAAACACTAATTAACAAACTATGAGACAGCACCAGCCGAGAGTTCAGTGTAGTAAAATAACATGTAAATGTGAGGCATTGGTTGTCAACAGAAAAGGGCCATTTCCTCATTTTTATTAAAAAAAAGACTATCAGTGATATACAGTGATTAGCATACTGGAGTTCTGTTAACCTGTGCACAGTGAGGTATCTTAGAATTAAAGCTTTAGGGGTTCAAAGTAAGGGTATGATATAGAAAAGATTGAATGTAGGAGGACGGAATAGGACTTATTTATATTATGACAAAAGTGAATATTTGTCAGTTAATAATAAGTTGGAGATGGTAAGTTAAGATCATAATTTATATTATGGAAAATGAAGAAATAGAACATGGTTCTATAATTTTTTAATTTTGCTGTGAAATAAAATATTATGATTTATTTTGTTTTTATCTTTGTTTTTAGGTAAGACTGTGCCAAAATCCCAAACTTCAGTTGAAAAATAGCCCACCATATATACTTGATATTTTGCCTGATACATATCAGCATTTACGACTTATACTGAGTAAATATGATGACAACCAGAAACTTGCCCAACTCAGTGAGAATGAGTACTTTAAAATCTACATTGATAGCCTTATGAAAAAGTCAAAACGGGCAATAAGACTCTTTAAAGAAGGCAAGGAGAGAATGTATGAAGAACAGTCACAGGACAGGTAAGAAGAATATTTCAGATGTTTCGGTGTAAAGGTCATTTACATTGCTTTTTTCTTAATAGTTAACCTAAACGTCACCATGTAATTGTTTTGGGGTAAATGTGAATCACTTTGTATACAGCCATGTGGTACTTAACTATGGGGATACTTTACGATAAATGCATTTTTAGACAATTTCATTGTTGTGTGGACATCATAGAGTGTACTTACACAAGAGCTAGATGGTATTACCTATTGCACACCTAAGCTATATGGTATAGCCTATTGTTCCTAGGCTGCAAATCTATACAGCATGTTACTGTACTTAATACTGTGGGCAATTGCAACACAATGGTAAGTATTTGTGTGTCTAAATATACCTAAACATAGAAAAGGTATGGTAAAAATACTGTGTAAAAGGCTGGGCGCGGTGGCTTACTCCTGTAATCCCAGCACTTTGGGAGGCTGAGGCGGGTGGATCCCTTGAGGTCGGGAGTTTGAGACCAGCCTGACCAACATGGAGAAACCCCGTCTCTACTGAAAATACAAAATTAGCCCGGTGTGGTCATGCATGCCTATAATCCCAGCTAATCGGGAGGCTGAGGCAGGAGAATAGCTTGAACCTGGGAGGTGAAAGTTGTGGTGAGCTGAGATCGTGCCATTGCACTCCAGCCCGGACAATAAGAGCGAAACTCTATCTCAAAAAAAAAAAAAAAGAAAAGAAACTGTATAAAAGATAAAAATGGATAACCTGTATACCATGCGTGGAGCTTGCAGAAATGAAAGTTGCTCTGAAAGTGAGTGAGTGAATGATGGCAAGTTAATGTGAAGGCCTAGGACTGTTACTGTACATTACTGCAGACTTTAGAAACATTGTACACTTAGGCTACACTAAATTTATATAAAAAAAATTTCTCCAATATGAACAGCTTGGTGTCACTTTTAAACTTTATAAACTTTTAATTTTTTTTTTTTTTTTTTACTTTTTGACTCTGGTATTAACAATTAGCTTAACAAAAATATTTTCTTTATTATTCTATAAGCTTTAAAATATTTTAAAAATTAAGTTTTTTTTTTTTTTTCCTACAATTATTATTTCCTGTATAGAACTCATGGTCTGTATAAGGATAATATTTTGAATTCATTGAGGTTTTTTTTTTAGATTAGTGTACAATTGTATTAATGTGAAATGCATACTGATAAAGAATACACATTTTATCTTGCTGAATAAAGAATTTTTTATGAACCAAAAAAAAAAAAATTAACTTTTTAGAAAAGTTTATAAACTTTTTTGTTAAAACTAAGACACACACACACAGTAGCCTAGACCTGCACAGTGTCAGGATCATCAATATTACTGTCTTCCACCTCCACATCTTACTCCTCCGGAAGGTCTTCAGGAGCATTAACATGCATGGAGCTATCATCTGTGATAACAGTGCCTTCAGGAATACCTCCTGAAGGGCCTGCCTGAGGCCGTTTTACTGTTAGATATTTTTTAATAAGTAGAAGGAATACCCTGTAAAATAACATTAAGAAGTATATAGTATAGTAAATGCATCAACCAGTAGTATAGTCACTTATAATGTCATTATCAAGTATTATGTATTATGCATAATTATATGTGCTACGCTTTTATGTGACTGGTGACACAGTAGATTTGTTTACACCAGCATTACCACAAACATGTAATATGTTGCACTATGACCTTGTGGTGACTATGACATCACTAGGTAATAGGAATTTTTCAGTTCCATTATAATCTTACTAAAGCACTAACATAAATATGGTCTGTCATTAACTGAAATGTCCTTGACTGAAATGTCATTACAGGGTTCATGACTGTATTTGCTTTTAACATTAATAGCTTTACGTAAATTTACTCACGATAATAGCTAGTTCATGAGACAGTATTCTCAATGTTTGTTTTTTTTTTTTTTTTTTTTTTTGAGGCGGAGTCTTGCTCTGTCGCCCAGGCTGGAGTGCAGTGGCACTATCTCAGCTCACTGCAAGCTCCGCCTCCTGGGTTCACGCCATTCTCCTGCCTCAGCCTCCCGAGTAGCTGGGACTACAGGCGCCTGCCACCACGCCCGGCTAATTTTTTTTTTTTATATATTTTTAGTAGAGACGGGGTTTCACCATGTT